TGCCTGCAGTTTGATAGGGCTTTGTGAAGCACAATGAAATTAAAACTGGGAGTTATTAAAGATGGACACTTTATTTATTTTTTGTTGTCATTCTTTGGTCGAAAACATTAATGCAGATGAGCTTGATGATTTGATTTTTCATATAAAAATACAATTTTATTACTTAACTTGTGCAAACTTTATCTATAAGTCATCAAGAAAAATAGTTTTAAAGCTTTATGATTTTTAGTAATAATAAAAAATAATAATATGATAAAAAATTAAATAGTAAAATCAATATCTGACTATTAAATTCAACCTTTTGTATTTAATATTTAAATTAAGTATTACATCATAATATTAAATACAACGCATATAAAACTGTATGAGTAATTATTAAAATATTATTTTTATTTTATGTGAGATTAGAAATATTTGAATAAAATATTGTATATTAAAGCTTTTTTGTTACTGTATAGGTATGCCTAGAGTAACATTTAAAATATATTTTAAATTGGAATTGGGTAACTCCAATTCTTAGCATACCTACTAAAGATATAATACGTCACTTTTCTTTTCATCGACTGACAAGTGTTCCACTTGGAATCCTCCTGGCCGCCCATGCCACGCCCCCGAAGACGTCCTCATCTCAAGGATAGTTAAGCTGCTTCAAAGCGATACTAGATGAACATTTGTGTAAGCCGTAAAGAAAAAGCCCATTGAGCGAGGGTGTGAGACGATTGCCAATCGAATTTAATGCGCATTGCTTTTTAAAGTGCCAGCAGCTGGGAACGCCCGCCCAATCCCCCCAGCCACCCATCCAAGAAGGCTTCTTTTGTCAACAATGTGGTGCGAGTAGCAAATCCACCCCATCCCCATCCACCACCCACTCTGGAGCAGCGCAGCGAGCCGCACTAATCAACACAATTACGGAGCAGTCGAAGGAAAACTTTTCTAATTGGATATGAAGATGCGCACATGCGTTTCTTTAAAGGAATTTCACTCCATCAGCCGAGGGTCCAAAATATTGTGACAAGAAAATGGCTCGAGACAAGGCTTCCAGCTACCGGCTTCCAGCTTCGCGCTTCAAGTTCCAACTCCCATTTTAGGCATCGCATCTCCGCCGGCTGAGATGCTTTGACAAATTATTTTTAAGCCAATTTACAACTTGAGAAAAAGTATCAGGAAAACATATCACACCACACACAAACGGATAGGTGGTGGATGGGTGGGTGGGTGGCTGAGTGTTTGTGTAGGTAAAGCAAATATAATGCGAGGGATAAAAGTGTAAAGTTGACAGCCCAGGCACATTACTCACCCGAGGTGCCAGCCATCCAGCCATCCAGCCATCCGGGAGCAGGAGTAGCATTAAAATAACCAGCCAACCGATTCAACGTCAAGCCAGAGCCCAGAAATGAGCGTGGCCAAGAGAAATGGTAATGCGGCCGGTTCGAGAGCGCCCATCCTGTGCTCCTCCAGGCACTTCCTCGAGGGCCTGCTTGCCAGCGACTCCTGCGCTCCGCTTTGGAGCGTTTTCTCAATGTCTTTCACTCGACAAACTGTCGACAGCGTCGGCGGAAACCATTAATTTTGTCACTTTCGGAAGTGTAAAGTGGCGAGCATGTGGGAGCTTGCGGGCCGGGCCATTGACCAGGTCACCAACTGGCCGGGCAATACGTCCGGGCAATACGGCCAATAGTGAGAGTCATGAAAGGGCAATTAAGGCCGGGCACCTGTGTGCACCCATCTTGCCGCAGTCCGACTGCCAAACAAGTTAATTGCACCGACCGCACTGCACCGCACCGCACCGCACAGGACACTTGATAACCGCAAAACCGCAACAGTCGTATGTTAACTTAATAATTGCCATGTGCATAATTTAATAGTAACGAATGATGGATGAGTAGGCCCGTGGACACCAAGCGATGTTCGAGTCAGAGAGGGATGCTTAGAGATGCTAACGAGTGTTAAGAGGTAGTCAGTCCTACGAGTAGTGGCTTCAGTCTTCGATGACGCACAAAATGTTGATGCCGCTCTTGCCCAGATTGACGCACTCCAAGGCAGACTCCTGCTGCTGGCGCATGTAGATCAGGAACTGAATGATCACGTAGAACAGGTTGTTCCGGTCGTAGACGCAGTTGTGCAGCTCCTTGTCGCTGATGAAGTTGAACTTGGGGTTAAGCTGGTTGCTGGTGGTCAGAATGGCGCAGTGCGCCTTGTTGTGCACGGCGTTGACCACGTCCTTGGTGGAGCGCTTCTCGTCGCGGATCAGCACGTAGCGGGAGTAGAAGGGCCGCCCGCCGCCCTGCGGCAACGGCATCAGTTGGCTGTCCAAGTACACGCAGAACAAATGGAACAGTATCTATGGGATGAGAAAAAGTGTGTAAATAGTTGCATAATTTCCTAGTTTGCATCCCTTACAGCGGCGTCGGTGGGCAAGTGGTCGCCCCACTCCTGACCATTGTGCGTCTTGCCCGAGTTCCAGCGATAGTCGGCTATGCAGGAGCCCTGCGACAGCTCCTTGATGCGCTGCACCAGATACTCCTGGTTGCTGAAGGTGTCCAGGAAGGGCAGCAGCATCGGCAGCATGGGGGCGCAGGTCTGCACGAACTGCTGGTTCTCGGCTGTCTTGCGCAGTCGCTCCAGACTCACAGATCCGATCTTTAGGTCGATCAGACCCCGCTGGCGGAACACATCGTCCACATGGTTGATCTCCTTGACCAAACGCTGCAGTATGGTGGTGGAAATCCACTAGAAAAACGGTTCAAATATAGTCGACTGTAAAGATGGTCCCCAGTTTCAGCTTACAAATCTCAGGTTGGCTACGTATTGCGACAGTTTGTCCGTGGATATGCGCTTGATGACCTCCGAATTGCTGTCTCTGAACTGGAAGCCACCGAACTCCTCAATGGAGGTGGGGGCATTCTCGGTGGAAGCAGCGGGTGCCGGCGACAGCTGGTAGATGGTGGTCTTCAGCATGTAGGCCGCATTGTTGCAGTAGTTCCAGAAGGAGTTGGCCGATCCCATGCTCTGCACACTGGGCGCCTCCGAGCTGTCCACCATGCTGCGCTCCCGCTCCGCCTGCTTCATGAGGGCGGGCAGCTTGCGGATGTCGGTGATGAAGTCATCCCGGCGCACCTCTGCGTACGGCGACATGTAGGTGGACTCGTTGCTCAGGTTGCTGGCGTTCAGCGAGTTGTTCTGCACCATCGACGAGTTGTAGGAGGTGTTCTGTTGCGTCTGCTGCGTCTGCTGCGGCGTTCTGGTGGGACTGGGACTGCGGCGCATCGACTGCGAGCCCCAGCAGGAGTCTTCGAAGGAGGAGTGCCAATTGATGATGGGTATGTCGTCCTCGGCATCGGAGTCGGGCTCGTAGCTGCGTGGTTTCATCACCGCTCTGGCGCACACTGTCCGAAAAGAGTTCTCTGTGGGAGTAAGGAGGAAATGCAGGGATTTAGTGGCTAGTCAAGACATCGAGTGGCACTTCCTCACCTTCCCGGCCGTCCAGCAGACACTTCTGGCTATCGGTTCCTATCACCTGGTCGCCGCCAAACCATAACCACAAATACTTGCCGAAGCAGGCCAGCGCACTGAGGGCTATCAAGGTGGTGATGGTGCACTCCGCCAGGAACCAGTACGTCCGGTAGACGGACCGACATGCCTGCCACATGTCGAAGAGCAGCAGGGCCAGGAGCACCACATTTATGGAGCACCACTTGAGGTAATGACGGGCCTGGGCGCTTCGCAGTCGCAAGTCCAGACTGCGCTGCACAACGGGATTTCTGCTAAGCGGCGAGCTGTGGGGCGTTTAAAGGGGTTAATTCTCTGATTTTTCGATTCATTCCGCTCACTCACCAGTTGCCCCTGGTGAAATTCATTGTCTGCAGGCGAAATTTTAAAGCAGATTGTCTGGAATTGCGAAAATGCCGGAAAATTGGCGGTTTTGCTGAGTGTGGCCCTTCAGTAAAATGCTTGTTTGGTCATTGTTGGAAAACGTTAGAGTTGGAAAATACGCCAGTCATTCCAGCTAGTGATGGCCCAGCTGTCGATAAGTTGCCGCCAATTAAATTATTTTCCTATCCAAGTTTCAAACCTTTTGCACCGCACCACCAATGAATTGCTAGGTTTTTGTTTTTTTTAGTGTTAGAAAACGTTCGAGTTGAAAAATACGTTAATATGTCCGAGCGCTAGATGTCGCTCTACAAACTCGTGTAGAATGATTTTGTAAGATGCATGTAAAATAGTGTAAATTTATGTTTTGAGCAGTGTTGCAGTTCTGGATACTTTATGGCTATGCAGCCAAAAAGTGTTACATTCAAACTAACAAAATAGTTAAGAGCCAACTAAAAATTTGGTTCTTAATGGCTTAACATGTTTAAGTTTTACTTATTACTATGAGACAAATAAATTCACAATTCAGTTCAAAGAAGTAGTGAGGTATGGTTAAAGATGTATTTTAAATCTTTATTTTTTAAAAGCTGGTGTTCTTTGTAAAAGTTTTAAAGTTTATCTTAGCTTTGGAAAAAACAAAAAATAAATCTTTATAGTTCCACTTGGGCTCGTCCGGGAATTGAACCCGGGACCTCTCGCACCCGAAGCGAGAATCATACCTCTAGACCAACGAGCCGGGTTGAACCGCCGTCGGCCAATCACTCAATGTAAGTTTAGCGCTCACAAAAACTCAATCATTTAAACCCACTCAAATACTTCCATATAAACATATTACGTCATCATGGTCCCAGAAATGTAAAACACTCTTGGAAAACTACTTAGTCAGTGAGTGATCTTTGGTGTCTTGTCGGAGATAATAATTTGCATCTCTCTAGACTTAAAATGAAATACTGCATTTTCAGAAGCCACTGAAATTAGTTTGATATTCAATGCCACTCAGGTTCAATAATAAAATGAATACCCTAAAACATAGAACATGCTCCGAATGGTGCAGATCCACTTGAACTTGAAATGATCCATCACCATTAACATGATATAAGGGGTCTTGCAATTTATGAGCTGTTAACAAATTGACAAACAAATTTAGTTAATTTATTAAGTTGATCGACAACAATCGATATCCTACAAACAAAATTTCTTATGCCGAAATGAAACAAATTGTTAGATTTTTATAGCATGCACAGTTCATGCCAAGTTCATAACCAACAAAGTTTACTAAATAATTTATCCAACAGCCTCGCAGATAAAATATTCAGGATCGTTGCAGTCCGAATCGTACATTTCGCCATTGTAAATGTCCACGCAGTGATCCTTGCCCTGTAAGTTGTTTGGTTGACCAGCCTTCCACTTGAGAAAGGGAGCTGGTCTGCCAGAGGCCACGGATATGAACTCCCCCTCCTTGGCCTCGTCTGTTACGCCCAGCCAGTAGCTGCAGCCCCTGTCCAGTTTCACGACGATGGCGTTTAAATCCGACTGGTCTTGAATGGTCGCCAGGTGACCGCCCATTTGGCGGCACGTAGCATCGGCACCCTTCCAGGTCTGACGAATTTCTTTCTCGATAAATATTAGTCGTGTTCCGATCCGCTTAAACAGGTGAGATATACGTTCCTTGCCAGCTTTGGATAGACTCTCCTGCAGGGCTGCCAGTTGGGCTTCAATCCGAGCCATGTTCTTCGAGGAAGCTTCTCTGTGGTCCAGCAACTTCTGTAGATTGGACTCGATTCGGTCCAATCTTTCCTGGGTTTCGTTAAGCTTCTGAGGATCGCACGTGCTCCACTCCTTCTGGTGAAGAGCAATGTGATCGAGCATTGGCTTCAGCGCCTCAAGGCAGAATTCTCCACATTGATTTGGCGGGTCACTCAACAGGCACACGGATCGAATCGGATTGACAAGGTTTGCTGCCACGGATCCATGCAGATTGTATGTCAGAAATGTCAGGAAACAATAAATCCATGACTTGAACATGTTTTAGTTAAAGGTCCAGTGAGAGCAAACGCTTTCGAAAGACTGATTCTGACTTTGCTTGCTGACTCTGCATTGAAGCTGATAACTCAGCGGATGTTTTGCATCGCCTTGTCGAAAAGTAAGCAAAGTCGCTGAGGCCGGCTGTCTCGACAATAGGATACACTACACCACCGTCTTATACACTGGTAAAAAAAACGAAGTAAGTCCAAATATTTTGTGCTAAACTTAAATGTTTTCCACTTTGCTTGTCATCCATTCCGTTTTTTAGTTATTTTAAATATGAAAATAGTACTGTTATTGTAATTGATTTATATATCTGAAAATTGTATTTAAACTTGAACTATATTAAACTTAAATAGCTTTCATTATAAACAAACAGGAACTACTTTAAATTTAATGTTATCCACATTTATTAAAATATTTTGAATTTCGAATTCAATAGTCGTACTGGTTTTTACTCTTCCGTTTTTTATCAGTGTACGTATAAATAAATGCCCAATCAGAGAGTTGGTTCAACTCTCTCCAAGTTCAGTTCCAAGGTGGTTTCTTTTTATTTCTGGAGAACTGTAATCTCGAATTGAAATTAAACACATATTTTTATATATTATATTATTATATTTCCTGACATACAGAGTTTTTGGGGGGACAAATATTGGATGAAAAGAACAGAACGAATAGCTCAATTCCGTAACTTCGCAGCCCGTCTTCTCCTCCTCCGCTTGCCCACCACTGAGGGTCCGACGCCCACACCCACTCCTATCCCGGGAACCGGGGCCAGCTGCAGCAGGAGGGGATTGCTGATCAGGGCTGCGGCGATGCCCAGAACGGTGGCACTGGCCAGCGGAATGAGGAAGCTCTTGGCCAGCAGGGCTTTGGGCGACAGTTCCGGCGATCCCTTGTGGGCGACGATCTCGTGCGAGTCTATGGGGTACGGGCCGTAGGAGTAGTCCAATGGTGGACTACCTGGGTAGTGACCCTGATCCGGTCGGGGTCTGTACGCGTGGTACGGCACTCCCACTCCCACGCCCAGTCCCGCCTCCCCGCTGGAGGAGTAGCCGTGACCAGGAGCAGGTCCTGGCTCGTAGCCATGTCCGTTGGAGGGTCCGTAGTCGTAGGGATAGGGATGACTTTCGTAGCCATAGCTTTTCCCAGCACTGCCACTGCTGGCATAGTGACCTGCCCAGGAACAACATAATCCCTTTAGATATTCCTTCGATTTCCGGCTCCTTCTCAACTCACCCACGCTAATCCGATCTTGGAAATTCCCACCCAAACGCCACTTGTCGTAGGCCTCGCTGAGATTCTCGTTCAGACTGCCCACTTGATGACCTCCACCAGCCGGAGGCAATGCACCAATGGGTTTGGATATAAAGCCGGCTGCTGTGCTATCCAATTTGGTGGTCGTTGAACCTGGTCCTCGGTAAAATTCCGGCGGAGGATCGTAGCTCTTGGCTGCTGCAGAGCCCAATGGGTCCAGTTTCACAATGGCCTGGCGTTTTTGGGGCTGCAGGGGCTTCCAGGTATCGGATTCCTTGGACGAATTCTGCGCCTGCGCGGCGGCCACTGTTGTCATAAAGAGACCGAAGCAAAGGCCAAAGGCCGCGAGTAACTTCCCTGTGATCGCGAACATTTCAACTGAGTGCGCCGCCTCCGGAGCCGTGGATTTTATAAGGGTACCCATACCCATACCCATACCCATGGGCAGACATGTAGTCATGTCGCCACCTGGAGTGGGTGGCATTACAGGCGGTGGCGACAAATTGCAGGCAGACAATTTGGCCGCTTGGCTGCTGGCATTGAGCCGTCTGCAGTGCGTTTCGGCAGCGACTATTAGAGCCGCCAGCTTGGGAGCTCTTCAATATGTTTGCCATAAACATATATTGCCAGGCGGCTCTTTCCACACTCTTTCATCAGGCATGGCATTTCATCAGCCGGAGCAGCGGGCATGTAGTTGCCAATTGGTCCCTCTCTGGGACAAAATTGAAATAAACCATGTGCAGCCGAATTTCGTAGGTGAGCAAATGGAAATTAGTGGAGTTATTCGCGCCCTCAAACTGAAAAGCTGAAGGCGCAATCTCTGTTTAATTAAATCATTTATCGCTGCTTATTTTATCGGGGGGTGCTCATCCAATGAGAACGAGGGGGAACTTGAGGTCGTCAGGGTCTGGAAAAGTTCACTTTGGTGCAAAAGAAAGTTCAGCCTATGGAAAATGTTTAAAGGCAACTGCTGAAAAAATTGTTGTTAGAAGACTGACGCAATGTTTAGACTGTTCTTGTCTCTATATACTTACGTGTTTACCCTATTCACACCATCGACTTACAGTCTTTTAATGACAGTAATTTATAGATATGTTTTCAAGATAAATCCATAAAAAAAAGAAAATGAAAGTTATAATAACAAGAAGAGAACTGTTGTATTATGTAAGCTTACCTTCTACTTAATTATGTGCACTTAAATAATGTCCACAGTAAAGGCCATATGAGTTATATAGTTTGTAGTTTGGGTGACCCCCTCAAACTTAAACTTTTACGTATTAAGAATTTTCATTGACAATTTCGATTGAAAACTCACTGACAAATTTAGAAGGTATATCTTCAGCTATAGCTGACTAGCGCTAAAAGTCTCATGCTACTTTTGAAAAGATTTCTTAAAATTTATTATTGAAATAATTTATTTAAAGTATATTTTCAAGAATTTATGTCAATGTGTTTAAATGTTGATAGATATTTTTACAAATATCATATTGTTAATGACGTCGATTAATTACTATTTTTTGAAGAAAAAAATTAACAATAACAGGAGATTGCAATAGTTATGCCATTGCAAAATCCTATTCTGACTAAAGGAACAGTTCAATGATATAATGTAGTATTGAGATGACCGCCTACCGCGGAATACTTGGTCGCCTGCGATACATTTCTGGCATGTCCTCCGGATCGGAGTCGGATTCCGGCGGAGTGGGCAGATTGCCGTCCTTGTCGCCCAGCATCAGGCACTCTAGAATCTCGACCTGGAGGTTCAGGATGGCCATGAGCTTGAACATCCGCTCGCCGCGTCTCAGGTAATCCGCCTGCCGCTCCTCGTTGGTGAGCCGTTTCTCTGAGGATTTTCTCCGTCTCTTTTGCATCCTGTCCAGCTCCTGTTCCTTCAGCGCCCTTTCCACGTTCTGGGCCACTGTGCGTCCACTGGGCTGGTACTTTCTCCGCAGGCACCTGAAGCAGCGGCGACACACATCCCCGTACTCGATGCGAAGGAACTCGAGGAAGGAGATGTGCTTCCGGCCCAAGTGCTCCTTCAAGTCCCTGCCCGTCACATGGAAGTAGTCGTAGATGACGGAGGCGAACACGTTCAGCAGGATGATGGCCAGCAGGAAGACCAGCACCAGGTAGAGCAGGATCCCCAGGACGAAGCCTCCGTAAAAGAATTCCGTGGGCCTGATGCCACCATTGTAGCCCACTGAGTACCTGAAACAAACGTCTTTATTATTTGATTTATGAGTATGAAAATATTAAAAAATATTTAAATTTTAATTTGACTATTTTCATATTTGATTTAAATATCTGAAAATTTATTTAAAATTTATACCACATTAAACTCAAATAAAATGCATTTAAATCAAATTTGAACTATATTAAATCTTATATTTTCCACATTGATTTAAATTTTAAATATATGATCATTTAATTTAATATGCATTGCATGTAATATTATGATTTCATATTTAATTATAATATTTAATCTACAACTTTTAATTTAATAGTCAGGTATTAAATTTGAATATTCCATTTTTTTATCAGTGCATCAAGGCTGTAATATTTATAATATTTGTATTTATGTTTCTGTTAAATTGCTATAAAAAACACATAAAAGAACACCTAGTTTGGGATAGGTTGATAAAAAATAGATCAATTTAGGACCAAGATTCAACACAAATTTTATAAATGTTATACTACTGAGAGTTTCGACAAGACATAAACACTTACCAAAGACTCTATATATATATAGTGTGTTTGTACTTACCACAAGCAGGTGACAACGGCCTTAATGAGGTGATGGAAGACCACTGCGTTGTTGCCATTCGGCACGGCCAGTGCGATGCCAATGCCCATGAGGAGCACCAGGATGATGACGCCCAGACTGGCCACCGCTCGCCAGGCGGAGAAGAGCGTCTGGGTGAAGTGCTGGAAGACGGCGGCGAACTGCAGCACCTTCCACAGCCGCATCGTGGTGATGCAGACGAGGAAGCCCTTCACGATGTCCAAGAACTGGTGTAGGCGCAGCGGTCGCTGAAAGTCCAGGTACTGGCCCTTGGTGAACGTCTCGATCATCTCGAGCAGCGAACTCGTCTCGATGTCCCGCATCATGGACAGCCCCAGCAGGAACACGTTCAGTATGCAGATGGTCAGGTCCACGATGGTCCAGGCCTGACGGATGCTGCCCGGATCGTACCAGATCTTCTTGATCACTCCGCGTGCGAACTGGATGACCAGGATGGCGTACACGAACATCACGAACAGCTCCGCCTTGGTCTTCATCTCCACGGTGGCCAGCATCCGCACACTGTCCACATGCACCCGCGGTATCTGCGTTCCGAACGGCGAGTTCTCGATGCGCAACGTGAGTACCGTGAAGGCATTCGCATCCGCATTGTACATCGTGAAGTCAATGAACAGGGCCGAGGTATTCTGGTTTAGCCAATTGTACTTCCGCAGGTAGTCGAGCTGCTTCAGGCAGTTTGTCTGTCGATATTTTGCCAGTCTAAAATATGTCTATAATATATAATATTATCTATATACTACCCCACCTTTGTGCTCATCATGAGCACTACATAGCCGCCGAGTTCCGGATAGTGATGCAAAGCGCCGTGGTGATCGAAGTTGAGCAGCAAGCCATTTAGAAAACTGGGCTCGTGTTTGGCTGGCCTGAAGGGGTCGTAGATGCGCCAGAACTTGTCCGTGTAGTGCATTCGCTGGTAAGGCAGCCGCCACTCGGGCGCATACGTCATGTCGTCCCACCGCGGCTCTCCCAGTCCGATC